ATATTGTTCATAGTTGATTGATGTGTAATGCACAAACGAATGTCAAACAAATTGAACCTTACTTTAAAGTGTTACCAAGCTGTTATCCGATGTGCCAGTGTATTGTGCAAAATATAATTTCTTTAGTAGTTTCTAAGTGCGATTTGTCAGTGTTCATTTTTGACCTTTGCTCTACCAAGAAAGGGAATCTTCAAGCCATTTATGGTCATCTTCATTTCTTCATTGTATCTTGCTTGGCCCACACTAAAAATATACAGCTTTCCATCTACACTAGATGCAGTGCTGTTAGTTTGAAGAAGAGACAGATTTTCGGTCGTACAAAGATACAGTATGAATCATCATTGTTGGTCTTATATACTGTCCATTTGAGAGAAGTTAAACTTCATTTGCTTCAAGAGAATGAATCATTTCTTTATTTTGCATTTGGTTACTCCTCCCAGACCTGAAAGCGGTACACCACATCTGATAGGATGTCCAGTGTTGCAGATGGATGCCATGACACCTCCTCAACAAGAGGGGCCATGAGAGATTGACTTACATACTGTACTGGACACTAGCCAGTGTGTCATGTCTTATTTCTGCTCAGCCGGAGGACCGTAATGCCAGTTGTGGCAGCTTCATAAGTGTGCCTTTGACACTTCATTGACTCCGGCTGCAGTGCGATGCTGACTGCGAGATTGAACCTGTTTGCAGTCAAAATCCCACATGACTTCAATAAGAACAAGGTCAATAAGTTTGACAAGGACCCACAAGATGTTTGCAGTGTCATTTACTGTACAAATGTATGACTTCTGCCTATCCAAACCAAACACTGACCCCTGTGATTCTTTTCCTTAATGTTTTGAATGTGTCAAGCTCTGATAAAGGGTTTCTTAATGTTCCAAATACTTTAATTTAGAAAGGAAGAATTCAATTGAAAGTGACAGAAAACACTATGCATTAATATAAAAAGTATTATAGTTTCCACACACACACACACGCACACACGCACGCACACACACACACACACACACACTCACACACAAAAGCATCACTACTGTTCTCAACAATAATACTAATAATAAATGTTTCTTGGGCATGAACATTTGAAAAAGTATCATAGGAAACAGTTTGACCCCCTTAAAATGTTTTTAAAGTAGATTTTTCATCATCTTTTTTCACTTGTAATTCAGCTAAATAATATATTCTCTGATAAAGGGTTTCTTAATGTTCCAAATACTTTAATTTAGAAAGGAAGAATTCAATTGAAAGTGATAGAAAACACTATGCATTAATATAAAAAGTATTATAGTTTCCACACACACACGCACGCGCGCGCACGCACACACACACACACACACACTCACACACAAAAGCATCACTACTGTTCTCAACAATAATACTAATAATAAATGTTTCTTGGGCATGAACATTTGAAAAAGTATCATAGGAAACAGTTTGACCCCCTTAAAATGTTTTTAAAGTAGATTTTTCATCATCTTTTTTCACTTGTAATTCAGCTAAATAATATATGGTTCAATATAACTATAGCAGCTGATCTTTCGCTGGATGTTTAGAAAGCCCAATGAGTCTAAGCGAGCCATCATTTTCACAGTTATTCTACTATACATGTTTAATGACACTGTTACTGTAAAGTAACTCCTTACTAAAGTTTCTCTTGACCAGTTAAAAGACTTTTTAAAAAGGAATGTTGCATATTATAAGGTCAAACTTGTCAAAACTGCCCTTATGCTACTAAATGACTCAGCCAAGAACATTCTACTCCCTCCTGAATTATCATCTGGATGGCGAGATCTCTCCAACTGTGCCCAACATCATTAGGGATTCTCTAGGTTTCTCTGCAGGCAGCATATCCATCATTAAGATTAATGCCTTACCACATTTCACATTCCTATTTTCATGGCAAGCCTCTGTCCAGCTTCTGGTTATTTTGACAGGGAACATCCAAAGATATCTAAATTCAACAGATTGTCCAAAAATGCACTTTAGTATGTTAGTATGACCAAAACATGCATGGCAATTTTCAATATTAAACTGTATTTCTAAACTATTTCATTTAGAACTTCCAGGCAAAAGGTCATAGATAATGTAGGCTGCAACAGATATTATATGAAAATATGTTATGATTTGATTTCACATTTTTGTTGACTTCAGGTAATTGACCTGTTTTCATTAAATAATATGCAATAAATACCACTTAATTTTTGTATTGGACTCAAACAATATATATCTGTTTAATTGTTTTAATAAAAAAAGAATAGTATTCAAAGCATGTTGCACCATATCTGAATAGACAATTTGTTGTTGTTCATTTATAACGTTCATTTATTTTCAATCTAATTATATTATAAATATTCTAATATTTAGGTTCTCTAACATCTCTGCACTGATTCTAAGTACAACATTAGCATTAACTGTGTAAAGTTCCAGTTCATAATAAAGTTGACATTCAATTGATGAGTGCCAGTTTTATTTACAGGCAGAGAGACAGATGGATAGTGAATTCATATTTGTGACCCTGGACCACAAAACCAGTCATAAGAGTCAATTTTTTTAAATTGACATTTATACATCATCTGAAAGCTAAATATATAAGCTTTCCATTGATGTATGGTTTGTTATGATCGGACAATATTTGTCCGAGATAAAACTATTTGAGAATCTGAAAAAAATCAAAATGTTGAGAAAATGACCTTTAACGTGGTCCAAATGAAGTCCTTAGCAATGCATATTACTAATCAAAAATCTAAACGTTTTGATATATTTACGGTAGGAAATTTACAAAATATCTTCATGGAACATGATCTTTTACTTAATATCCTAATGATTTTTGGCATAAAAGTCGATAATTCTGACCCATACAATGTATTTTTGGCTATTGCTACAAATATACTTGTGCTACTTATGACTGGTTTTGTGCTCCAGAGTCACATTTGTGGCATAACCAAAGCATATAAAAACGGCATAAGCCTTTTCATGTCCAACCCACACTTCTTCCTTCAATAGGTAATACCTGAAAGCGAACACAGCAAAGTAAACTGCACTTTGTCTCCTAACAAAAATGGTCACATATCTTTCTACTCACTACTTTCTACACACACTCGCTCTCTCTTCATGTGCCTCCTGTGGGCAGTGTTGTTTTATTGGGAACACCTGTACTGTCTGCACTAAATTAATTTCTAAAGGCCGGTGGTGAGGGAACTCCGCCACCCGCAATAAATTCAGCTCACAGGGGAAGCAACCAGGGGAATCAACTTTCTAAAGCTACACTGATGGGAGATGTAGTTCTTCTGACACACTGCACTATTTGTAAGTCTGAGAGTGTGTATTTATGCCAGGAGGAAGAGGAAAAGAGCTTTATGTAGAGACATATGTCATAAGAGGGGGAAAAAATATAAGTGAATTGAAGTGGTGCTATTAGCACAACAGCCCTGTAATCATCTTAACGCAGTGTCTTTTCATAGCCTGGCTAAACGAAAGAGCTTGGTCCTATAATTGAGGATAATATCCTATTATTTTAAAGCCTTCATGTACTTGGGATTGGCTCTGAGAGCTTTAGATATAGTCTTATGATCTGATAATGCTGCTCAAGGGCTTCTGGGTCGCCTATTTTAAGGATCATTTTGAGAGCAAATACAATGAAACCAGTACTATATAGTTCTCTGCGTAAAAAGCCATCTGAGCCTCTTCATGACAGAGAACCATATTTACAAATGAAAGCAAATGAGTAGAGCCCAAAATTCAGAGTTTACCATCCTTTTGTGAATAAGAATGATTATGGAGTGATATTGTTATGTCAGAATTATGTATTTGCAAATTTATTAGGAATAGGTGGAAATTAATGCTAATTTGGTGGAAACTTTAGCTGCCTTTTATGGAAGCTCAAACTTCATCATTTTGACAAATTAATCAAATTTGGACGAAAAAAAAATAACAACGGTAGCACTTTATTTTAAGGTGTCCTTGTCACACATGTTGCATGTACTTACTATTATAATAACAATAAATTATGCATAATTACATTCAAGTAACCCTAAACATATAGTAAGTTAATTAGTTTTACACCCTATTCACATAAAATTGCTTTATATATAATTTATTACAATGTTATTACTATTCATTCTTATTTGTTTAGTATTTCCAATGAGACTTCAGCAAAGCATAAAATAGATCAATAAAGCATCAATTATGCAATTAATGCACATCTTTTGTGCTCATATAGTTGTGTTAGCACTAAAAAGCTTCCTTTTGTCACTGGATAACAAATAGAAAGACAACAGTGTTAAACTGCCCAACACAATCTTCTTTAAAAAAAAAGACTAAAATGTAATTACTAAAAATTACAGCTTGATGTTCTTTAAAAGTCAGCACACAGACACATTTACAAGGAACATTTAAAATAGAAACATTTAGTGTGGAATCAAATATAATCGTTGCTGTTTTGATCATTTGCAGACCATCCGTTTGGGCTTGTAAAAAAAAAAGAAGCAATTAGCACAGCTTGTTTCCCTGAATTCATAGTTTGGAGACAAACACTGTTTCGTAGGACCTTTGATTCCCACAGTGGAACAGCAAAGCAGTATGTAAATACTGCAGCTTAAAGTGCTTTTTCCAGCTTCCTGTCACCACAGGAAGCACATATTCACCAGGTAGGGGGTCTTCAACATCACATAAAGAACAACTGCTGGGACAGCGGAGGGCCCAACACATCCAAAGTGGTTCAACCCTCTGAGAAGCAGCACTCATTCCAACCAACCAAAACTCCAATTTAAAAGCTCTCACCACCATTACAAATGCATCTCACAGAGCACAAGAGAGACCACACAGCAGCCGGCCAAATCTTTTCTCTCTCTCCTCAAGACAAGAGTGGCGGGTTTACTCGCTCTGTGAAATACATCGACCGTTCAGTAGAAATGAAGACTCGTGGTGTCCATGGGAGCCCCTCGAATGGAGACGAGGCCTTGTAGGGGGACCACTCCCATGGTGCTTTGTATCTGTAGCCGTGGTAGCTCAGAGCTGTCCAATGGGAGTTCTTATGTTCTGATTATCTGGTACAGCTTGCAAGGAGAGAAGCTGCAAAGACCCAGGCAGGAAGGTCGTAATGGGCCAAAGATGTGTCTGTGAACAATGGTGATCTCTTATTATGGCTGTGGGGAGATAAGCAGCGTTTCTTTTGCTTGGCATGGCATTAAAAGCACACTCGCTGTTTCTGGAGCGATCACGGCTGGTGAAGACTAGGAACAGCAGCCCTGCAGGTTCATGTTATTGCTGCATGAGAGTTTGATGCTCCGAGAGTGCCATATGGTGGTCACTTGATAAACTGCAGCAATGTACTACACTTCACTAGCCAGTAAAGATGAGAAAGTCAAGCAGATGAACCAAAGCTCATTACACAAGCTGCTTTTACGCAAGCAGAGGAGGTAAATTAAAACATATAGAAAGTGCTAAGTTTCATACACAATCAGCATACATGATGCTAAAATAATGCAATAGACACTAATGTAACAACATAAGATATAACATAAAACCCTATAGTACATAACTGCAACATATGTCAATGAAGTGTCACAACAGGAATTCTACGAATGTCAATTAACGATGACTTTATCATTTTTTTATTTCCTAAAACTCTAAATATTACAGTGTATAAACAGTGTTCTTGCATTAAATGTAAGGAGTTATTCATAGAAACTTAATTTTAACCAATTAACAGGTTGTTACCACAGAAGTTTTACAATATTTTACCATTAAGATCACAATCATTTTTTGTTAGACAAGTCTGGGCGGCTAATAGAGGCTACTGTAATTCTGTAGTAACACAGGAACTGAAAAAAAAAGATCAAATTCCACTTTTGCTCTGTTTCCCTTTTAAATAAAAGACAAAATGTAAAGACACGAGATGGCGAAACAGCTGTTTTATGGCAATTTAATTGTAGGCTACCAGATTTTCACCTCAGAAAAAGATTTACCTGATATGTTTCATGGCTTCCTGTATTTACAAGCTAAAAGATTGTTTCACACATCCTAAATCTATCTCCAAATGCAAGGGTCAGTGGATCCTTGAGTGAATTAAACACCTCTTTGTGGAGTTTGGTAGCTGAGGTTTGATAAATAGCCCTGATACGCAGATGAACTAATGTATGGCAGTGTGCTAGTGTTAGAGGCTGGGTGCAGCACATGCCCTCTTCCTTATTCAAAGGTAAAGAGACCCCCGGGTATCCAAGACAGTCAAGCGAGTCCACTGGCATGATGGGAACGAGAAAGCAGGACTCATCCGTTGGGAATCCCATGCTTGGTTCCAACTCGAAGGAGGAACTTAACCCATGCTTCCTCACCTCTCTGCTTCCTGACAGACAGTAGTTATTAAAATTTCATGACAGAAGTGACAAATGTTTGTTCCACTACACCATGTTCCATTTAAAACATGTTTGGTGCTGCTACACTGTCAAAATCATTTTTAAGAAATATTTTTGTTATGTTTTACAGTACACATAACTTAGCTGTCTTATAACAAGAAATTGTATTTGAGTGCTGTCAAACGATTAATCGCGATTAATCGCATCCAAATAAAAGTTTTTGTTTACATAATATATGTATGTGTGCTGTGCATATTTATTATGTATATACAGTATAAATACCCACACATGCATGTAAATATTTCAGACAAATATGTTGTTTATATATTAAATATATTTATTTATAATATAAATTATATGAATTTAAATATAGACATGTAAAATATAGACATGTGAATACATGTAAATATTTTCAAAATATATACTGTATATGTGTGTATTTATATATACATAATAAATATACACAGTACACACACATATATTATGCAAACAAAATCTTTTATTTTGGATGCGATTAATCACGATTAATCGTTTGACAGGACTATACAAATTATTTTAAACTTAGAAATGTATCAAAATTGCATAAGATATTTAGACCTTTTTTCCATAAAAAGTTTTTACATCTAACAAATCTTCGTGAAGATAATGCTTAAAAGTCTTAATATCCCATACAATATTGTTTGGCAAACACCTTTATTTTTTTAATGTTTAGATTACTTTCTATCTATCTATCTATCTATCTATCTATCTATCTATCTATCTATCTATCTATCTATCTATCTATATATCTATCTATTTATTTATGTTTAGCTTCTCAAGAATTTTTTTCTTGTTTTAAAAATGATGTGTACTGGAAAACAAGAAAAAAATACTTATTAAGTTTGCACACAACACATAGCCATTTTTGCCATTATTTATTATTTCCCTACCTTTTCTTTTTTAAACGTTTAGATTATTTCCTTACCTCATCAGCATTTTTTTAGATTCATGCTTTAAATAAGAAAGAAAAAAGTCCATGGAGTAAAAAACTGTTTAATTCAAAATATAAATTCATAATGTCTTATCTTATATATCTTAATAAGATATATAATATATTATATACAGTATCTATCTATCCATCCATCTATCTATCTATCTATCTATCTATCTATCTATCTATCTATCTATCTATCTATCTATCTATCTATCTATCTATCTATCTACAACTTCATGCTGTTTAGCTATATATATATATATATACACACATATACAAAGTACATATAGCTAAACAGCATGAAGATATTATATATGTTTAGCTTCTAGAAAAAAATTAGATTTTTGTTTCTTGTTTTAAAAATGATGTGTACTGGAAAACAAGAAAAAAAAAATACTTATTAAGTTTGCACACAACACATAGCCTTTTTTATTATTTTTTGCCATTGTTCATTATTTCCCTACCTTTTCTTATTATTCTTTTTTCTTCTAGATGCTTGATTTCCTGGAGGCAAGTCTTATGAGTTGTTTGAAGGAAGTTAAAAGTTTAAAAATTCCAAAATATGTATTTTTGGGACAGACCTTACATCAGTTGTGACTATGTTGCCTTAAAATAGAGCCACAGGCAGCTCACTAGGTTTTGGAAAAGATCACTAGTGTATACACAGTCAACCTGCATTCAGAAAAAGGTCTAGAGGCCACTGGGTAGCATCTGGCAGAGACAAAAGCAATTCTAGCAGCCCTCTGACTCTTCACTGGAGTCTTCCATTCCATCATGCTGTGACATAAGCCAGCCTCCAGAAAGATTTCATCCATAAACTCCCTCAGTTTGGTCTGACGTGTCTAGCCATCTCAAAAACAAATAATAAAACCTTCTCTGTTTGGGTGACAGCAAGAATTAAAGACACTGACAGGCCCCAAAGAGCAGAGCAGGGCGTCTCGTTTCTGACAGCATGTGACAATGCGACTCTCAACACTTCAGAAGCTCATGCTTATCATGACGGGTATACATCTGTACAGACACTTTTGGCAACTTGGTAATTTCTCAACATCGCTTAGTTATGAACAAAGCAGTGTGGGAAATGATGCTGTCATAGATTTTGCAGCACTGCGTGGTCCCGACAGGATTTCCCGGGACTTTTTTCCTGATTATTGCAGCACAGTATGACAGAATTTGCAGTGACATTTCTGACAAATTGCTACTTGCTACATTTTTTGTGTTGTTTTGCAGTGAATTTCGCCAATGATCAATCTAAAATTGTGTAATTAAAGTCGGTAACAGAGGAGTTGAATTACCAGTAAGTATTATAATGCATAATAAATCTAAGAATATACACACACAGTATTTATTTATTTACACTTTTTGAAGCATGAAGGTCCACTCCTATTGCTCAAACAATAAACTAAATCATTATCAGGACCAAGGTCATGGGTTCGATTCCCAGGGAAAGCAGGTGCTGATACATTAAATGTTACTTTGGAGAAATTGTCTACCAAATGTAGACGTAAACATAACCGTCAGTGGGGTGTAAGCAGATTGAAGATTGTACAAATTCATATGAATTAGCCACCAATTTTCCAAAAAATAAAATAGTTACAAATTTCCATGAGATTGTGTTGATCAATCTGATTGTTATCTGTCAACTGGAACACAATAATAAATTACATTTCAGTTTGTCTTCAACAATCCTTCTCATATGCCCTCAGAACAGTTGCAATATATGGCATAAGTCACATAAGATCCTTTGATCATATTTTGGTGCAAGAAATAAACAATTTCTTCTTTGTGATCTGTCTATTTCAAGGACTTCTTTATAAATAATGATATACCCTGTTGAAAAAAACAGCATATGCTGGTTAGGTATGTTTTGACGCTGGGATGCTGGTTTCAGCTGGTCCTTTGCTGGTTTATGCTGGTCCTTTTGCTGGTTTATGCTGGACAAGCTTAAACCAGCAAAGGACCAGCATAAACCAGCAAAGGACCAGCTTAAACCAGCAAAGGACCAGCTTAAACCAGCATCCCAGCGTCAAATCATACCTGACCAGCATATGCTGTTTTTTTCAACAGGGTAGTCTGGTCTATTTCATGTTAGGCATTTATTTATAGTCCATTGTTTATCTAGGCCTACCTATTCTCGTGCACAAAGTCATATCAAATACCATATTTAAACCAACAGACATAACTACAAAATTTACACTTGAGGCCATTAAAAGGTGTTCAGATGTCTGCGAGAAGGTTAGCAGCTCTTTCAGCACAACTTGGCTAACAGCTGTGCCTCGTGTTTCCATTTCGACTTAAACATCTGTCGATAAAAGCCCAGTGGTCCCTTGCCTCTGATGTGTACGGCACATAAGATCATTAAAAACAGACATCTATCACCCCATGTGCAGCAGTGCAGCAGGCATGACGGGTAAACAGTATGCTAGCTCATTAGCAATTGACAATGCAGACAGTGTCGGCTTAAAGCTGCCATCAAGAATGTGAATGCAATGGATTTATTCCCAGAGCGAAATCAACAGTGGAATTAATTCTCCAAACGGGGAGGATGAGCTAATGTTGAAATACGATTCATTTATTCATAAGTAACCTTCAACACCAGGCGTGAGGTGACAGTGAGATGACGAACCAATCAGTGTGGAGATTTTCTCAGTCTGTCTCAATATTCACCCTTCTGAACCTGACAGAGAGAGAAAGAAAGAGAGAGAGATTGTTATCATAAAAAACATAATCAAAAACATAGTTTAATTAAATTTTTGACCCTGGACCACAAAACCAGTCATAAGTTGCATGGGTAT